GGCCTAAGCACGGCTGAAATTATGCAACGGAATTTGGAAATTTTCCAGCAATTAAACGTGACTGCGACGAGGGAATCGAAAGGCCTATGGGCTCACAGGCCCCACACGCCTAAGGCCTGCTCTCATTCCCTTTCAAGTAGAGCTGAGGCATTTGCATACGCTCAAGGCTTAAGGCTCAAAGTTGAAACTCTAAGTGTAGGGGATGGGGAAGGGGGCGGAAGGAAAGCCCCTGGGGCTATCAATTTTTAATTGTTAATTTAGCGGTGAAAATAACGTTCGCATGCTAATAAACAAAGTGTGTGGGGGGAGGGGGAGTGGGGCAGGCGGTTTAATAATAACCAATGCAAGATGTTTGAAAATCAGACAACCCGAAAAGAAATTAAATATTTTAATTGGAAATTCAAATGACACGCGTGCCATAGCACCCACTGAGGGTGTGCGTGTGTCTGTGTGTGTGCGCTGTTTTTTACGACTTTACAACGTTGTTAAAAAAGTGAACAGCGCCAGGAAAGTTTGGCGAAAAAGTAAACACAACGGAAAAATTGAAACGGAAATAATGAAAATCGCGTAACGGAAGTGGCAACAGCATTAGAAGAAGACGGCTGCAGGAGCAGGAGAAGGAGAAGGAGGAAATGGAGAAGGCATAGCAATAGGATGTGCTCAAACTGAAGTAGTGTGAGAGGCGTGTGACAGAGACAGAGACAGATACAGAGAGAGAGAGAGAGAGAGAGGGGGGAGAGCTCATACTGGATATTCTCCACGGTTGGAATATTGTAAAAAAAAGTTGAAACAAATAAATGCGTAAAATGCCGCAAATAAATACGCACAAGCCGGCAAAGAGGAAGAGAAAGAGAGAGGGAGAGAGAGTGAGAGTGAGAGCGAGCGAGTGGAGCAATATGTCGCAGCAGTTGCCTCTTTTTATTGCGCCTTGTTTGCTCTTCAGTTATTGTTGCCACAACGGTACATTAAGCTTTAAAGAAAAACTTTCGCTGGGGTGGGCGGGAAAAACAGAAAATACAAAAGCATAAAAAGACAACATGACAGAAAAAAAAAACACAAAGGAAAACAAAAACACGGCGCAAAATTGTTTAAGTAAGAAGTAAAAACAAAGCAACAACACGCAAAGGGCGATGGCTAAGAAGAAGAAAACGAAAACTTGGATAAAGTTGGCTTAAAGATATATGTGGATTAGGGCAGCTTAAAAACGAAGACAGCCTGGGAAAGTTTAGGGAACGAACTGAGATGAAGATGCGAGAGAAGCATATGAAAAAGAAAATTTGTTAATGCTAAAATATATAGAGAAGACAATTTTAATAGGGGAGAATGAATCTAGATGAACTGAAGAGACTTAGAACTAGTTGGGAATTATGAAAAAATATTTAATTAATATAAATAAAATATGTGAAAGACGTGGAAACTGAAATGAAATAAAACCGAG